AAGCTAAATTAGTCACTGAGAAGTCAAGGGATAAAATTCTATACAGAGTTATTTCACCTACCTATATTATCATTATAAATGTATTAACCTTTTATAATAAATTACTTCTTATTGTACACTATCCCTTATGATCTATGTTTCTCATTGTGTTCTTCAATGAAATGTTACTAATTAAGTATTAAAATTCATCCTAAGAACTATATACTAAAGTAGTATAGATTGTATTCGATAAAAAAATTTCCGTTTTTACTAAGTTGAATTAAAAAAAATATTAATAATGAAATTTTATTAAGATTTTTAAACACTAGGAACATTAGTAATAATCATTGTGATGGCAATCAGTTATAATACTGATGTTGATTTTACCATTAATAAGTAAGTTCAAAATTACACTATAAATTAATAAAATCATTATGACATGTGCAAGAACAAAGATTGTAGTTGAATAGCATGAATTCACTTTATTTTGTCCGGTCCTCGTCAGCTGCTTACAACCTGTAATATTTAAAAATCATAATTACGAAATAGATTTAAATTACTTATAAGTAACTTGTACCCATTTTGTTATATCACAGGTTGTTAGCAACTAACAAGTATCAAACAAAAAATAAATGAATTCATACTATTCTACTAGAAACTTTATTCTTACTCTTTACAAAATGATAAACAAAACTATACATATAAAAAATTCATAGTGATTAAAAACTTTTTGGTGAATTACACAAGCCAATCATAAAAACAAAAGAGAAAACATTCATCATATCATCAATGTTTCATAATTCAATGAAAACAATAGTTTATGATGAAGCACAAGTCAAGAATAAGAAATACTCAAATGATTTTATAAATGAATGAATAAATAAGTGAACTTATTAAACTTAATTGAACATGCCAATAAGATCAATAAAAAAACCTCTATCTATTCTACTATATCCTTTTACTTTATAATAAACGTCTATACACATAACCGTTTCTTTTTTCTTCTTCTTCTTGTTCCTTTTTTTTCTAAATTTTATTTTGAAAAAAAATCAATAACTATAATGCATACAGATATTCATTAAATGTTCAATATTTATGTTTAACGGATCAACAAAAATCACTTTGAATGTCGCCGCTAAAATTAAAAAAATTATTATTTTTTTTTCTTTTTAGTATTCAGTTAAAACATCAAATGAACAAGTGTGCACAAAATATTACCTCTATAGATATATATGTGTATATATATATATATATATGTAGTTGTTAAGGATGTAGATAAGAAAAATCTTGTTTAGTTTAAATGAGACATATAGATTTGTTAATTTTTAAAAGAACAAAAAAAAAAGGAATTGACTGGAGTTTTTAATAATCTCTATAATACATATACATTTATATACATTTATATATTTAAAATAGAAATAAATAAGAATTGTCTACGTGTTGAATTGAATATTTCGACTTTTATTTTAATAGTTAAAAAATATGAGTTGATATAAACTAGACCACCATTGAAAATGTAGAAGTATTAAACGGTTGTTTTGTCCTAGTATGAGATTCTTTAACAGTGAACATCTTTTCTATGTTTTTTATTGAACATTTAAATTTATACTAGAAATTTAATTGCTCAATATTAAGATATGTTAAGATGGTTTGGTTGTTATTTTAACAGTATAAGAATGAAAAACTTATGATATTTGTTAATAATATACTAAAATTATATTAAAACTAGTTATAAACCAGTTTATTTTAAACAATATTTGAAAATCTGTTGTCAATAATAGAAGTGTTGTCTATAAATTTGTCAAACCACTCGTTTCTTAGTGCTTTTCAATTTTGATAACTTGATATATGTTACCATGTTAATCATCATTTAAATTACCTAATAAATATAATTGCTTACTACTATCATATCGTGAATATTTCGAATATTGAACATTGGTCTCGATGGAAATCTATTATGAATTGGATTATTCTGATATATTGAAAATCTTACTGTCAAATTTTCGATATTTAAACTACTTAATGTTTACTTCCTTGTACCGGTAAGTCTATTCTAAATCTTTCAAATACCTATTTTGTTGTTGAATACTTTAACTTCTGAGATTGACAGAAAATAATCAAAAGCTAACTATGATTAATTTAAAGAACATTATCATCATCGTTATCAGAAAAAAAAGAACAACGCTATGTTTATGATTTATATCACATTGTAGAATATAAATTAAGGTCATAAATACTGAAACTGCATGATGTGAATGGACAAAAGAATGAAGCAGACAGTATATATATATATATATATATATATATATATATATAGGGTGACAGCGAGAAAGAGTGTAAGGGTTTTATAGATAATCAGGCATGCAAATTGCGCAATAAATTGATCAAAATGTAAACTAGTAATTATGATAATAGTAATAATACACTAACTTAACAAAATATTTTGTTTTCTAGAAAAAAAAACTATTCTATTTGTCTCGTATAAAATAAATTTACTTCCTCGAATTTGACCGATTATAATTACCGTAGCAATATTTGAATTTATAAAGTTAAATAGAGATTTGTCTTACTAATGAATAAATATTTAACATTATTTAATAGTAATACTTAATTATTACAGTAAAATCGTTTACACTATCAAGCTATACTACATACACACACATATATATGTATGTCTATATATAGCGAGACAAGCACATGAACGAGTATTCTATTCAGTGAAAATCCTTCGATATGCTTTAATCTTTCACATATAAGTATATAAAAGTATGTATTTAATTGAACTACAAAAATTAATAAAGAATTTGAAGTTAAAATATTTTATTTACCGGGACTGCATGTATATATATTTAAAAGGGTAAAAACACCTAATTATCTCTTTGATCGGGAAGTTAACTAGTCTTTTAAGTGCCTAGAGTCAAATTAAACTAGATAGATGATTATCGTTAAATAAAAGCTTTCCTACGATTTCTTAGTATTTGTATTTGTAGAAGTAATGTATTTCAATTTATGGAGGCTCAATTGTAGTGTTGTAAAAGTGTACATAGTCAATAATGATAATCTTACTACTATTATTATTATTACTATTACTACTAATAATAATTCTCTTTTCAATCAGAAGTGAATAAAATTGATACGACATGTATGAAAAATGTCAGTATGTGAAATGTCGGATAATAGCTGCTCAAACAATCTAATAAATAATAAATTAACAATTAAATAGTTGTACATGTGGAAAACATGTTTTTATACATGGAATGTATAAATTTAGTCTATTTATTTTTTATTAAGATTACAAACCGATTTAATTTAGTCTTTGGTAGCTAACTGACTTACATGCAAAACGACCGAACCCCTCTGGTCACTACTTTTCACTAGAACACAATGAGAAATGATTGTTCAATTTCACGAATCAGTAGAAGTTAGGTTTGTTAATTACTCGATCATGATTCAGTCGTTCAAAGTCCAAACTCTTGTCTAGAGAGCTGAAGCTTGTGGTCTCGGTTGCCATTACGACTATGGATGTGCACTGCTGAGCATCCTTATACTTGGACTAAACAACTATCCCGTGTTTTCTGGTAGTCAAACGTAAGTCACTTCGTGATCTATACATACCACCTTAAACTAATTTTTTGTGTTTATAAAAAAATTGAAAATGATGATTTAATGTATCCAAGTCAAACTATATACTTTAATGAAATAAGTGAAATCGACATTGTGTAAAGATAATGAGTGCCTTGTGCTACATATAATTACGCTTACATCGACTAAATTTACAAATGATAATCTGAGAGGCTATGAACCTTGAAGGTGAATACATTTGTTACAGTCTTAAGTTTAAAGAGATATTCTAAATAGTCTGGACGCTAACTTTTTTAAAATATACCCGCCTTTATTTTACTGTTTATTTAATATTATACTTATTATACAAAACAAGAATATATTTCATATACTATAATGCATAAGCGATAAATATGAGTTCAATACAAATCTCTAGTTCTATGATATTCGCCTTTAGGTAAATAAACTGATGAATGTAACAACTATGTTAAAGTAAATGTGTTTTTAAAGCAAAACGTATTATTATTATTTTTAGTCAGATGCATCATATCATTTTACATTTTATGCTTTGTTAATCATATTCTAGTCATCTTGTTGGATTTTATTTCCAAGAACAAATATCAATAAACTAGTTCTATGTATTACTATTGTTATTACAGTACAATTAAATACTCAACATCGTTATAAGGTAATAGATGGTTCTTCGTTAAAATCAGTTAGTATGAATAGTTGACAATAGATTTATTGTGTTTACTACTCAAGAAGTATTGTAACTTGTTATTTTAATAATCGAATATGCTTAGACAATATATGAAGTTTAATGATTGGTTGTCGTAACTGATTTTTATTAATTTTCAATATAAGTGTTTTAATTGTGTTGTCTGTTATATGAACATCATATGAGTAATATATCTCTTTAAGTCCTATTCTTATTATTTTTGTCATGACTGACATTAGAATCCAACACTCTACATTGAATATTATGTGAACTGAGTTTAATAAGTAACAACTTAAAATAAAAAAGTAAATCATTTGGTTTTTAAACCATAACATACAGCTTTATCATTCTTTTTCTTGTTATGTATCATACTCAATTTGTTCACTCCATCTATAACGAGTCAGATTTATTTATATCATCTGATGGTAGTGTGTAATAATTAGCAATACTACACATTCAGAACAAAGTAATAGTAAATTAGGATAAGTGGAGTCACATTATGTGTATTTAGTATAGTTGAAGTGCAAGTTTTATTTAGGCTTGATGTAATTGATGGAATTTAATAAATGGCTCATTTATATTATGTGACAACTTTGATACAACAATTTGTTTGTTAATTTTTAAACTTAGCCAGATTAAAAATAAACATAGGTTGATGATTGGTTTTAATGGGATCATGTAAATATACTTAGTAAAGTAATAATCAACCAAATCTAGTCAAATGTATACAAACACTACTTACAGTTTGTATTTCAACAACACCTCCAGTTCCTTCAATACTGCTCACTGTTGTAGTTACTGTTTCATTGTTTTCATTGCTATTGATGGTAAAATTACTGTTATTCATTTGAGCAATTGTATTGACAGTTGGATAGGTTTTTCCGTCCATGGTTTCACTTTGGAATATGAGTGGTACAGCAATCACTGAATTCCACACAATAGTAAGACATAAAAATTCTATGAATACCTTGAAGTTATACATATATGGTATTGTACTTTTGGTGTGTGCATCAAATGAATGGACAGACTGATAAGTTTGATACATGATATGAGAAGTATGAGATGGGTGTATCTAGTAGTTAGTCCAGTTCCAAGTAGAAATTACAAAACAAATTAATGAGTAAGTAGTTCCAAATGATTGTGTTAATGTTTTTTTCTGCTCATCAAACGTCTAGCGAAATTAACATGTAGGGTTTTTTCTGTTTTTAAAATAGTAAACATTTCCTTTAAATATCAGCTGTTATTAAAAAATTGGTGTCTTATTTCAAACTAACCAATTAGTAATGTCGAGAAATTATGATTGGTTGATAGAATTCGTTCATCATTGTATATTCTGGCCAATCAGAATGAGATGGTCTAGTTTAACAAACTTTTTCAATAAAACGTTTCCAAGTAATTTCTGGAAATAATTCATTGAAATTCTTACAATTAATAAAAGATAACGAAAATTTCGTGATGTAAAATTATGGATATTAGGTATATTTAGAAGTGGTTATTAATGATGAGCAACAAAAGTAAACAAAGGGCTTGAAAACTAAAAAGAAAACTGAAATGTTGATTTAGTTTGTCCGAGGAATTTTCGACACATTATATCTAATTAAAAGGCGATCCAAAGCTTTCTGAACCTTGATGGTTTTATTATCCATTTTCAGTTTGGAGAATTATGACACGAAAAATCAAAGTTTAAGGTCTGAGTAAACAAAAACAAAAAGTTGAGCAAAATAGCACATCTGATTAGAGTTAGATATGTAAACCACTGAATCCTGGATCAGTGATCTAGACATAGGGTGTTCGAGTGAGAGACAGAAGGTCTTAGTTTTGTTCGCCGGTTGCGTGGTTGCGGATACTTATGAGCAGTTCTGTACTAGAACGGAACAGCTACCCAGTGCTCCCAGGTTTTCAGTGAGTCTAGCTTAGACCACTCCGTGGTTTAAACTATAAAAGTTCTACAATCATTATAATCCTTTTTCCCTTTGCTAAAAAATTATTTAGTTAGATTCTCATCAGCTTCCCACAACCTAGAATATTTTAGGATCAGATTTATCATAGAAGTTAGCATACTTGTAGATGGAAGTTGTCTAGAAATGGATATGTATCGTCGTAATGAAGCGAAAATGTCAATAAAGTGAATATGACAGAAAATTTTGAAGTTAGGATATTTCGAGAAATATAACCTAGATTATTACATCATCCATTGCTCCTTGGTTTTTGTTAACTATTTCAACTTTGACTGAACATGGTCACAATAAAAATTCTATTAACATAACTCAATAATGAGTAATATACATTAACGTTTTTCATAGTTTTCCTGTAATCAGTCATTTGTATTCCTAGATATGAACGATTATTAAAAGAGATTTCACTTAACTGCATATTTTGCATCGTGAACTTCATTACTTGCTTATCGGATAGAATTTACTGGACGACAACCATTCATTATTTCTGCATGTCGTTTAATCCAAAGGCCTTCGGTTAACATTCATTTGACTGGCCAGTACCGTTCGACGAAGATTGATCGTACTGTTTCTTAAAGTGAGGTTATAGAGTTTCAAATCCTAATGATTATCTGAAGTCATATAATTCTTCAGTTAAGTGTATGAAGTACTCGTAAGAGAGAAACTCATCTATAGAATGTAATTCTATCAGAATCGATTCAAAAGTGGTGTAAATTAAATAATTCAAACAATCTCGGTGTATGGAATATATCATTTAGGACATCTTATTAAGGCCAAGTTATACTGCGAATCGACTAAAATCGGATATCTGAACAACTAGTATTTTGTTTAAGTTGTCTAAAGGTATTGTACATCCCATTACATTTAAAGTTTCCAGGATGTTGTCTGTTTTCAGTTGTCGGTTCATACTGTTGAGGTATCCTCAACCATGACAGAATAGTTATTCACCACTTCACGATTTATGGTGGTTTCTGTTTTCACAGATTTAATTGAAATATATTAGGAAGACCAATAAAACAAAAATCCCCTGTAACAATGAAAATTTATTACATTCTAAATCAAAACTATAGAACAGTGAACACTAATAATTCATTGGAATAAAAATTAACACATCAACAAATAATCAGTTTACCAGTTCTTATGAGGAGGTCTAGTCAACTAAATGATCCGAGATCAAATGGACAGAATGGTCAAAGGAAATGCAAACAAACATACTAATGGAACCTAAAAGAACAGTTAGTTGTAAACAGTATTGTCAGAACAAACTAACTAAGCATATGTGAAATAGTTTTGGGTGGAGTCACAGGGTTGATGATCTTTTACACCAATAATGATTGCTCCACAATAAAATTATTCTTCCCAGAGGACATAATACCACTGAAATTTATTAATATTTCTCACGTGAAATCGAATTTAAAGATTCGGAGGTAGTGAAGTTATTAAATGAATGATTTAAAAAGTTGAATGAGTTAGTAACAAAAGACTACTAGTCATAAAATAAAAGATTGCATGATTGAGTAGATGAATACAGCCCTGTGAAAATCAAGAATTAAATGTTTAACTTATTAAACTTGGTCGAAATAAAACTGTTATATACTTGGAATCATTAGGATGCATCAGGGATTAGCACTGTCCTTCTCATATATAATCAGGTATAACTATTTCTAATAGTTTAATTCATGGGTAAATTGAAGCCAGACAACCATAGAAAACCTGGGAGCACTAGACGAACGTTTCGCCCTATTGTAAGACTCCTCAGCAGTGCGCACCTACGCAACGCCTCGAGACATTTGAACCTAGGGCCTATCGGTTTCGCTTAACATCTAGACCACTGAGCCGACCGGCATTTAATAGTTTTAATGCCTAGCTTTAACCGTCCACCATCGTCTTCAGTGAGTTAATATCTCACAACAGACTTGGTTGAACTCCACTGATCACGGCTTCTCACTAGAACTCCAGGATATACCTCTCGGAGACCGTCACTTGTGAGTATATGATGATTATAATCAGAGAGGGGTTATGTCGATGTTATAGTAATTTTTGCTGGTAATCGCAAAACTATTTTATACAGTGAACTCTTTGGAGACTCTTAAAAATAAAACATTTAGATTAATTTTAAAATGGTTAATCAGTTTTATACTAGATTACTCCTTCAATTCTTAAGGATGGAATTTTCGGAGATTGGATAATTTTAGCTCCAACTAGAGTTGATCATCAAAAGTAAGGGATTAAATCCATTTTATCAATGAATATAACATTTGTTTCACTATTGAGGTTCGATTTTATAACATTCCATTTTATATACTTCATCCAACTTAACTGTTCTAACTGGCTTGTGACTATCAATTTGTAATGGGTGATTTATAAAAATATAACTAATCTCGACTCATAGGGAAATCAAAACAAGCTATGGAAAAAATAACACTATCATGATAGTGCTATGAACTTAACTGCCACAACCTGTATACCATGTAAGCTAAATGCATTTCTTACTGAAATTCTATTAAATTCTAAATTAAGCCCAGACAATATCTCTGTTTTATGATATATTCATAGTATTATAATCAAATTAAATGCGAATTTAATAAATATTAGCATTTTTGTTGAATCGAATAAAAACTGCTTACTATTGTGGTATTTGCTACTGATATCAACACATATGAGTAGTATGTATCGTCAATTGAAAGTGAAATACTTGGAAGAAGAAATTTAAAAAGATCGAAGAAAATTTAACCAGAACAAAGAATAATTGGTGTGGAAATGAAAGAATAATGATGTCTGAAACAATTGATTTACATTTTGCAAATGAAGTATTTACTGTATGCCTAACAGATTTTACTAAGATGTTCTGTAACTCTATTCAAATACATTCGATTATCCCCACTTGTGCTCTCATTCACTAGACTATGTTCATGATTACTGAGTTTTATTTATACAGTCAGTTACATTATTTATGTCAGTATAATCATTCCAAGAAAAAAACATTTCCTGAGTACGGGAAGTAATAACCATATGGATGTAAATCATAACAATTACTAATATTTGCGTCTCATGAAATTATATTCAAATTTTATTGTAATCACCACTACTCTAATTGCATTATCTATGTTAGATGAAATTTCTCTTATAATCAACATTCAATATTTACTTGTTTATACTTATTCAAATGTAGTTATTACAATTTTTATTTTTTTTATTTTTAATTATCACTTATATCTCTTCCTATTTTAGTTTCTTATTAATACCAATATTATTGTTGGTACTAATAGTAATAATAATAGTAATATTAGTGATTGTAATACTCAATGTTATTACTTTATTAGGCATAAAATTGAATAAATCTATTATGGCTAGTTCTGTTATGAAAATATTCACTATTAAATGGCTGCGGTAAATCAAAGAACAAAAAAAAAACATCTTCATTAAGTTAGAGAATGCCGATCATTAGTTCAAAGGAAACCGGGAATCTCTACCCAACTAGTTAACTACATATATGTATATGTATGCATGAATGCACGCATGTGCGTGTGCATGTTTGTTTCAATAGGAATAGTAATACATACATGTTGATACTAAAACGACTGATGTTAATAGCATTAATATTATTATTATTACTAGTACCGTTATTATTATTATTATTACTGCCACAACGACGACGGCTACCACTATAAGTAGTATTTATTGTTTAAGCTTAAAACAAGTTCTAACTAACTAAAAGACAGTTATTCTTTTTTTCTCTGTTCCCCTTTGTCCTTTTAACTGTTGGCATTCAGTTATAACAAACATACACAAATAAATATATAGAGAAATACATTTATATGTTCTGTCTTGCGCGTGCTCTTCTTTTTTTCCTGGTTTTATCTCACCTTGGCGCTTTTCTTGTTATTTATTGCGTTACTTTGTGCGGATAAACTACTACATACCTAATGAAATCATTTGTATATATATATATATATATACCAAAAAACCATGTGACTAACTTGAAAGAACTAAATCTTTAAGCTAATATTATACTTTGTAAAAGGATATCAAAAGTAAGTTACCTCAAAATCGACATTTGAAGGGTTAGTTATTCAAGATATAGAATTTACACATTCATTGTACTTTCCACGTTGAGTCAATAAATAAACGCTCAGAAAGAGTAGAAGCTTAATTATTTAAAAACTTTTACATTATTTCAAACATTCTAATATTTCACTGATTTAAATGTATAACATAACAATAGTTACACATTGAACCATTAATGATAATAAATCCTCATTGAACTGTTTTTTAATTACAAATGATCGC